GGTGAGAAGAATGACCACGCAAAGATCTCTTGTGCTGTTGCCACTGACACTGTGCAGCTGCTTTTGTGTCTGACAGAGCAAGGCTGGGCACCAAGCTGCTCTGCACACCTGCTGTCTCAGTGGGGTGCCCTAAGAATAAACACATGCATTGCTATGACCGTGATTTTCCCTAAAAGTGGCTGTTTGGCTTCCCTTGCACTCATCCAACGAGATGCCCATAAGAGCACCTTTCCTCATAAGAACCTCCTTATTAGAGCAGGCAGACAGCAGGAACAAGCTCCTTCCCTCCCAACAGAGGGTACTGCAGGGTGCTCTAGCTGCCAGCTTACTCCTCTGGACATCTGATCCTGCAGCCCTGTGACCGCTGAGGGCACTGATCCAGGTTCAGCAGCTCCTCCACCAAGGCAGGGAACTTTTCCAACTATGTCGGCACAAAACATCTCCCCACCCACCTCTATTTTCCACCACAAAAAGCAACTTTACCACTTCCAGGGAGCATCAGAAGGTTCCCCATGAATTACGTTCACATCTCCATGTATATACATAAGGGTATTCCTCCTTCCATTGACTGGGCTGTGGCTACTGAGCTCCACGACTTTTTCCCCAGGTAGGGCCTCTGCAGGAGGTACAAGTGACCATCTCCTTTCAAGGGAGGGACTGGAGTTTTGAGATGCCCCAGATGCTACGAAGCTGTGCTTTGTGTCCCTGGGGAGATTGATACTCTCTTCACACAGTCACACAAGACAGCATCACATATACTTCCCCTAGGATAAGCATCATGATTCATGCTTTGACCAGCATAAACTGGCATTGCTCTGAGGACTCCATAGACTCTAAGCTGGTTTACTTCCCTCTCTCAATCTGGGATTTGGTATTAAGACTACACAAACACACACAAAAAAATCTCCATGACCAGTCCTTAAGCCTTTGCGTGCACATAATCAAACTGCAGAAGCACAACATTTAAGATGCTGCTGTTGCTAATTATCTCAGTTTTAAAAGGTGAAAGACTTTGGTTGGGTTTTTGTTGTTGTTGTTGGTTTTGGTTGGTTGGTTTTTTTTCCTCCTTCTACCCAATGGAAAAAGTCTCTACAGTTCATCAGGGGATTTCCTGGTGGTCACACGGTGACAGCTGACAAGCAAATCTTAATGTCAAATAACTGTCACTTCATCTCAGGTCAAGCCTGAGATAGAGCCCTGGCCCTAAGACACCAGTTAAAAATAATTAAATAACTAAACCCTGTAAACAACCCAGGAAGAGCTCTCCACAGAACATCTCAAACAACATTACTCAGTCTAGCAGATCTATGGCCCTTCTGTATTCTTTATACTGGAAGCATCTCTTCATCTTGCTTTATCATTTTCTGCCGACTTTGTCACGCTTTAGGAGAACAGTTAACTAACTTCCACATGGGGGTTTGAAAGCCAGTTTTGCCTTTGACAGCAGAACCCACCTGTTCCCCCAAAATAGAAGCAATTCAGCAGTTCCAACCCACCCACAGAAAGCTGTGTAGGACAACGTTCACATGCCACACAGACAATTGAGATGCTGTTGGTTAACTATGAGTCAGAAGCACAGGCTGGGACCTTAGCATCAGCTCAAAGACAGCTTTTCAGTGACTACAGCTTCATATCCCATCATTCATCCAGGTTGCTACGCTCCCAGAGCAGGCACACAAATCCCATACAGCTCACCAATATGAGATGATTCAAGACTCTTAACAAAAATATATTCTCTACTCAGTATTAAAGCTTTAAGAATCCAACAGTGGTTGCATTTTAGCATTCCTCGTGACTGAAGAACAGTCTTGTCATGTCACATAAGCCAGTTTTCCTCATCCAGGCCAGTGACTTAAGGATTTATACAGACAGGTAACCATTCTCAGAGCTCCAGGCCTAGAGTTTGTGAAAAGCTGCAGGATTTGAGGCATGCATAAGAAGGAGACTGCAAAGCCAGCACAAAAGAACTTTTCACTTGCCTGGCACATACAGGTGCATTTTCTGGTGTGCTAGACTCCAACAGCCCCAAGAGAAGACACAGGTGCGACAGGAGGCCATTTTCCAGAAAACCCTTGAGGCAAAAAGCGATTCACTGGAGTATGACGCTAAAACACTGCAGTATGCACAGTCAAGTAATATGTAAACACATGAGACTTTGCTCAATAAACCCTGATAGCCACATAGATTATTCTAGTGGAAAAATAGCAATGCTTTTTCACGTCAGCAAACAGAAGAACCTCAAAGCTGGAGAGAGCATTTCAGATGCAGGACAATACCACTGCTGTAGCCCCGGACAACAAATCCAAGATCCCTACAACTTAATGGTAAAGTGCTTATCAAGAGCTAGGCGACCGTAAATACCTCTTATATAAATATGAGGTCCCCTGCCTAACTAATATGCATGGCCAATATTCTTTATTTGGCATTCTCAAATGCGCCTTTGAAGCTCACAGTGTGCTCCCAAGGCTGCAGATCATTTAGTCAGGGCTTTCAGTTCAACATTAGCCCATAGCAAAGCCTTCCTGCCCTACACAAATGATGACAGCGTGATCTTAATTCAGGGAAAAGGCAGAATGAGTTCAGAGGTAAGCTGAACAGATGCAAAGGCCAGAAGGAAAAAGCTCGAAAAGAAACCACTAAGTGGGATCTTACACTCTGAAGTCAAGGAAAATTTCTTTTTTCTCTGATCAGGTTCTCAAAAAGATTGGAACCAAAGAAAAACCCAAAGGAACAAGTTTTTTCACTCCTCCCCAGGAAATATTTGTCTTTGCACAGTAGAGTCTCATTCTGTTCACACCCAAGTACACAGGCATGAAGGCACTAACCTTACCTACACACAGCCAAATAAGCAAAGCTTCTGCAAAATTCCCTTCTGCTTATCAAGAGACACTACTTAGCATTCCAGTTTGATGGGCAGGGCAACAGACAGTGCAGGGTAGCAGTTCCATAGATTAAAAGCCCATGGGCTATAACACCTGCTCTCTCAAGCAGAAAACAGCCACATAGCAGACACACATAGTTCGGACCCTACAAGAGCCTGCACTAGATTGAACTGCTCTCCTACTACAGGCTCAGCTGTACCTTCTGCCCTGTCCCCTTTTCCCCCTATGATTTCATTCTAACCTCTGGACCTCTGCCTGGAAGCTGCACTGTCAAGAGGGTTTATGATATGGACAAAGTGCAGGAATACCATGTGCCAGCCATGCACCCCATTTGCTTTTACTTTCAGAAGTCCACCCTGTTGCCTTAGAGCTGCTCTCCACCCAAGGTATATGCCAGTCACATAGGTGAGTCAGAAGAAAACTATTTTAGAGACATCAGACTGAAGATTGAACTTGAACACCCAAGATCCAAGCCCTGGCTAGCTTTAAACATCACAGTTTGCCCTCCTTCAGAAGGTAGGTGAGTGCTGCCTCCTAGAAGGTGGTTCCTAACTGAGGGGCCACCCATAGTACCTCATAGGGAGTGGGAAAACCTATTCCAATTCACAGAAAGCTCTCTACCAGGCTGGGTGCCTCCCTGAGGCATCTGAGGGCAATCCCTGGCACTCTGTGGATGTTCTGGACATATAAATAGCAAGGGCAAGATAGACATGATAACAGGCTTGCTCAGCACTTGAGCAAGGCAAAGGATTTGGGCACTACCATCAGCCTGTCTCACACTTGTGCCACACCTTCGAGTGGCACAGGGACCACTCCCTTAGGGAACTAATTGGGCAGTCACCTCTTCAATGGAAGCAACAGTAATTAAAGCAACCAAACCCCTGGCAGCTATCTGTAAACGGATCCCTATACAAGAAGGGATTAGGGGAGGCCTTTTCCCTTGTCCAGGATAAAAGCTGGCACCTTGGCATTATTACAGCTTTTGAGACCTCCGATGGGGGTCTGAACAGCTGTTAAAAGCTTCCCATAAGGCTCCAGAAGTTACAGTTGCGCTTCATTGGGCATGTCTGTAAACAAAGTAGTCAGGAAGGAAAATTTTAAACCTAACTGCACAGAAAAAGCTAACTTGTGGTGCACGAAGGCTACATCTCAAAACTCTACCTTCTCCAAAGAAAAGGAAGTGCTGTGGAAAAACACCTGCCATCAAAGTGAGAGGACTTCAAGCAGTACATAGCTCTGGCTTCCCTCGGCTCTAGGAGAGGCTCAGAATTCTGAGACTATATAGATATACCTGATTCTCTGACACCACATTTCCCTTTCAAGCTTAAGATACTTTTCTGCATTTGTATTCTCAACATAAAAGCTTCCAAGTACAGACTCTATCACGTGTTTGTTGACTTCCCCCCCCAAAACAACAAAAAGCCAGGAGGCACCACAGACCATTTTCTTCAGCTGTTCCCCAGACACAGGGACACTCTACACTGTGTCTGCTTCAGAGATAACTTTTTAAGGTTTATTCTGTAACTTGAAAACAGAGATCTGAACTGGAGATCTAGCTCTTGCAGAGGGCAAGAGAATTCCTCAGTGCCCAACACCCTAAGGAATAACCCTCTTCCAGAAATAAACATGCAGATTAAAAGATGCCCTACTCAGAGATGCTGTCCGACTCTCACCTGTATACAGGTGCTCGGTATCTCCACCTCCAGCTGCTTTGCCTCCCATTTGCGGCCACCAAGAGCTGGTGCCCACATGGCAAGAAGCTCCTCTTCTCACCAAGAACCCCGCCAGACCTACACCCGAGCAAGCCAAACCTACGAAGCGAGCCCAATAAGCCCACGTTACATGAGGGGTAGGGTGTGTTTGTGTGTGTGTCAGAACCAGGACCACTGTGCCGACTTCCTACTGTCGGGGCCTCCTTGACCTCAGCCACCCTCGTCAGATACCAGGGGAAGAGTGCGGGGGGGGGGTGTGCTGGGGGTAAAAGGTCTTAAAGCGCCTCTCGGGAGCGGGAGGGCGCAGAGCTATTTCCACGCACACCCCCCCTCGCTACTCAGAAACTAAGAAATTAACAACAGCGAAAGAAGAGGCGAAGGAGCGCCGGGCTCGCCCCGCGCTTACCGAGGCAGGCGCCGCTGACGAGGGCGGTGGCGGTGAGCGCCCCGGCCGAGGCGCCGTACACCTTCTTGGCGTTGGCGACGAGGAAAGGGGCATGTTCCTGCAGGCAGCTGGCCACCCCGATGTGGTACACCCCTAGGAAGCCGCAGCCGGCGAAGGAGATATTCCAGGTGGAGTCGGGCGGGAACATGGCCTCCGCGCCCCGCGGGAGGCGGGGGGGCCCCGCGGGAAGCAGCAGCAGCAGCAGCCGCGGCGGGCGGGGAAGTCGCGGATCTCCTCTCGCACCGCCTCGGGACAGACAGGAGATGCGGGAGGCTCTGCTGCCGGGCTAAGGGACCTGGAACACGGCAAGATTTGCCGCCGGCTTACCAGCGGCGGAGGCCGAGCTTTTATGCGGCGGCCCGGCCGTCGGGCCCGCCCCCGGCACGGCCACCGCCCCTCCGCAGCCCCGGCTGGGGCGGGATCGCCCGGCCCCTCCTCCCAACCCTTCCTCCGGTGAACCCCGTTCCCGGCCCGTGGGCACTGGGGGCAGTCACCGCCTATCGAGCTACTAAAGCCGTGCTAGCGCCGCTCTGAAGCGGTAGGGGCTGAGTCAGCTGCTCCTCGCAGCATCCCAAGCTTCGCCCTGTACCGGAGCAGCAGGCTGCTCTCCCCCCACTAAACAAGCTATTTATTGGAAGCTTCTGCTCCAAGTTCTTGGGGTTTCCTTGGTTTTTCGGGGGATGGGTAAGAAACGTGAGAGGAAGGGAAAAGCTTTCCCCTTCCACAAAAAGCTGAGGAGCCAGAAGTAGGCAAGACTTGGCACAGCTACATCGTAAGAATTGGGAAAAAGGCAGTCCCCCCTTAACAGCTTTCTCTGTCTCAAAACTCTTAGAATCACAGAATATCCTGAGTTGGAAGGGACCCCCAAGGATCATTGAGTCCAACTCAGCCCTTCACAGGGCACCCCAAGAATCACACCACGTGCCCGACAGTGTTGTCCAAATGCTTCTTGAACTCCTCTATGTTTGGTGTTGTGACCACTTCCCTGAGGACCATGTTCCAGAGCCCAACCACCCTCCAGGTGAGTAACCTTTTTCTAGTACCAATGTAAACCTCCCCTGACACAACTTCAGGCCATTCCCTCAGGTTCTTCCGCTGGTCACCAGAGAGAAGAGATGAGTGTCTCCCCACTCACTTCCCCTCATGAGGAAGTTGTATACTGTTATATACTACTCACCAAAACACACACAGTTGCTTGCCTTTGCTAACCTTCTCTCAACCTTTTTTCTCCATATGCGTCTAAGCTCACCAAAGCACTTACCTTTGGTCAGGGCAACTGCAATTTTCAGTAGTGCTTCTGCACAAGCAAGCCCATGGTGTATCAGCTCACCACAGAGCACTATTGGGTGAAAGGCCAGTGCTAGCAGGAGATCAAAATAGCTTTCAGAAGCTACAAAGATCCCCTTGTCATAAACAATACAGGCTACAGTCATTCAAACAATTAGATAATTATGAAAGTTTACAGGGATATCAAAAGCATCAGCATAACAAGAAGCAGACTGCTCAACTCAGAGCGACAAAGCAAGATCAGCAGGAGGGAGGTTTGGGGGATACAAAACAAAAAGTATAGTTAGTTTTTTAATGGAAACAACATAGGGCAAAAGCACTTCCTAAAAAAGTTTAAAAAGCTACTTAATTCATCATGGCATAAAGCTCTTTGGATTAGTTTTCTTATAACCAGTCAAAAGTTTCTCATTTGGGATACAATTATACCTGTCCTTAACAGCTCCCAGACTAAACAAAGCCAGGCTTTCCTCCCCACGGGAATTTCACCAATTATGTTAGTGGAGGTCATCCAAGTAGCCCCTCTCCTGTTCCTTCCACTCCAAATATCCTTTCAAACGATACAACATAGGCTGATACCCTCCTCACAGAGAGACCATCCAGGTTGCAAGAATAGCTGTTCAATGCCTCAGTCTATTGCCTCACAGTCGGGTGACTGAAGTAACCAAATTCGGCAGGTAACCCTTGTATAAATCCAATATTTGAGGTCAAGTTAGGCATCACACTCCAGCCTCTACAGACAGAGTGCTTTTTCATTAAATGTTTGTGCTTTTCTTTCATCAGACAGGCAGGAGTACAGCTTTATCTTCCTTTCAGGTCCTGCCCTGGAGCCCACCACCTCATCTAGCTGCCAGGAACTACCCTTAATAGATATTAGCTGACTCTGGAGCACCTAAAGAATTAACCTGCCTTATCTCAAGTCCTCTGCTCATACCCACCCTTCTCTCTCTTCCTCTCATAACTGTACTTGCTTTTGTAATTTCCTTCCTTCCTTGCGTTTGATGTGGTTATGTAAGCCCTGTCAGCCCTCATCTCCTCCACCTGGAGAAGTGAGCACTGGCACACCTGCACTGTGACTCTCTTAAAGGCCCTTAACACCAAGATGATCATAGGGCTTTCACCCCATGCTCCTGATGACACAGAAAGGTATCTTCATGTAGTCGAACCCAAAGAAAACATCGTGTCTTGCCCTTTTCCAGAACAGGGACTGTTCTGCAGAAGAACCAGTCAATGGGCTGTGACTTCAGTGGAATTCTGTGGCAAAGCTGAGCACTGAACCTTGTTTGCAGATACCTCCCTAATGCTTGTAATTACAAGAACATCTTCATTCTCAAGACAACGCTGCTCCCTTTTTTTGGCCTTTCACAAACCTTAATGTTCTGGAAAACAGAAACGACAGCGCTGTGATAATGCTGGGGTTAGTTTCACTGGATTTCTCAACAGCAATCTCATCCTGAGTTGTTTACATCACTCTGCCTTGGCCCTCAAGGTTACTTATTTGAGGAGGTTAATGCTGCCCTGCTGAAACAGGTTGATGAAATGAACCATGTGAATGCTAATCTCTTGTGAAGTGCTGCCTGGGCACTGGTGTGAGTAGGCTGGCAAACAACTGTGTTTTTCTCAAAATTAAATTAACTCCCTAAACTAATCTTTTTCCCCCTTAATAAGAAAGTACCATAGTTCTGCTATTGCTCACAATGAGGAAATAAGCCAGATCAGCGAGATTTACAAGGCAGCTTTTCACGTGTATCAAACTCCTATTGGAACATTGCAAGTTCACTCATGCCCTTACATGTTGAGATGCCACTGAGGCAGCTTTGTGTGCAATCTCTCGTTGTTGGGTTTATTTTCTAGCCTAAGGAATGGTGAGCAGTTAGTACATATGAGATAAGAATGTACAAGCAAACAATCTCTATTTGTTTTTTCAGGTAGGACCCTGGTTGATACCGGCCATTGGGAATTCAAGGGAAGATGACAGGCAGTCTGCTACAGACTTCTGAATGTTATTCTAATACTGTTGCCCATAATCAGCAAGACTAGTGTAGTGGTCACGAAGCCCAACTTGAGTTGGACTTTGCATCACTGGAAAGCCTGACTCTGATGTCTTTTTCTCACCTTTGATGTTTGTGTGTATCAGGCCATTCCATGACAAACACTTGGCACTTGCTTCACAGGAGCATCTCCTGAAGCAAAGGATTGGTCCCCTTGTCCTACTCTCTTGGGACTGAATTTTCCTTCTTGGAAAGCTACAACAGATATCTCTCCCTACGTGCGTCAAACATACCAAGTTCAGCAGCCTGTCTGCATGTAGCAGCTTGCAAAATTGGGCCTTAGTAGTAAGAGTGAAACCAGCTAATTTGAGAGTGGCCCCAGGGAGCTGTTGCTTATTGCTTTACAGTAGCGTCCAGGACGTTCTCCCTGCCTTCCAAGTAGTGAAGATGTCATGTTACTCTCCCTGGCCCATGGTGTTTGTTAGCAATGATTTTCAGTCAGAGCTGATTTGAGATGCAGCATTTGTGTCCTAGTGAGGAAAGCTCACACAATTCAATGTCAAGCCTATGACTAAATAACTGTCTCCTCCTGTCATTTTGGTAATGATCAGTTACCAATGTAATCTCCAGGCACAAAACTATCTTTCCCTTTCTCTTCTCTTCAGTGCCCTTGAACCTTTCTCTATGAAAAATTCAGGACAAATTAGTTCCAACTAAAATTGATTCTGCAAGGGGACGGACTAGGCCACAAGTCCAAGTGTTTACAGGCACTAGTTTTCTCTGACAGCATCGTGGAATAAACACATCCACCCCATCAGTACCCTTCCCTTTAGAAATCATTACTAAGTCTGAAAAGGCATAAGTGACACTTGAAAATTCAGAACAGTGACTACAGAGCAGGAGTAGGAATCCCAGCTCCTTCATATCTGAAGCTCATTGAAACCAGCAGAATCGAGCCGTTAACTCCATCCAGTGCACCGAACAAGTCTGCAACAGACTTTCAGGCACAGCACTGCTCATATACAAAGCCATCAGGTGACAACTGTTTCACAAAGAGGTAAAGGGGAAAGAAAGCTTAATAGGTTTTGATTTTGCTTTCAGAAGAAACATTTACCATGCAGAGGTTTTAGCCAATTTTGTAAAACGTATGAAATCTTGGAGCAGAGCTGTGCCCTGACCTTCTCGAGGAACACCTAGGAGGTGGTTATGTTACAAACACTGGTTCCCTGAGATAATGTAGCAAGTGCTGTATTTTCCGTGCCTTCTCTGAGAGCTGCCCCCCAAAATTTCTTCTCTAAGCAGTTTACCAAATGAGCTGTCCTTTTTCTCATAGCAGATTGAGCTACAGTAGTTTTCATTAAAATTATGCACCTTCAGGAAGGAATTTAACAGTGTTAAGAGGACACCCAGCACAGAATCAGGTCCGTAACTCAAGGTTTAACAGGTCACACAGAGAAGACAGACAAAAATAGGGTGAAGAAGTTATCTAGCTGTAGTTGTACTCCTCCCCTCAACCTCAATAGCCAGCAGCTGGCACCACAGGTTTCAGTGTCATCCCGCAGGCCTGGGCACAGCAAACGCATCGAATAGCTCAGTGCCATTGAAACAAATTCCTTTGTGCATGGAAAAACCCTGCTGAGTGGCGTGACCGGGCCGTCCCTTCCTGGGAAAACATCAACTTTGCTATTGCAGCATCCAAGCAAGGCAATATGGGGCAAGGGGGGTACCTCTCAGTAAAGTCACATCAAAGAACCACTTTTTTTCAGTAACCTGAAATGGAAAAATCACCACAGAAAGAAACACAGGTATACCTGCACCACTCACAGGGCTGAACCGTTGCCATTATTACAAGTCTGACAGGGAACTACAGTGAACATGAGTGTTTTTCATTACTACCAGATCACCATGATAGGACTTAAGAGCCAAAGTAGATGAAAGGTATTGGCACTGTTACCTCCTGTAGTTTTTTCTTGCAGCAGGCCCAGAGGGGCAGCAAGGGTTAGTCGCTTAAATCATGGCCATTTTGAGGCTCTTTCAACTGCTCTCTTCCTTGGCT